TGAAACGGTATTCCCCAGTTCGAAGTAGCTGATGTAGGTCCCAGGGCTCGATCCCTAGTTCCCCAACTTACCTGTGTACAATACCTGTGTAGTTGTAGGACTTGAACCTGTGACCTGTAGGGTAGCCACTTGCAGGTAGGTCATCGTAGGCACCAGAGAAGTAAGGGATTCGAACCACAGACCTGTAGGGCAAAAATCGAAGTWGGGTCCAGAGGTCTTCTAGAAGGTCGACCAGTGGGCAAGTGGTGTAGCTAAGTCTACTTGCGCCGTAGGACTGTGACATCTGTCGAAGTCAACTGGTAGGACCTCAGTAGGACTGCAGTGAGTCGTAGGTGAGTCGTAGTGCAGTCGAGGAAGTGTCCAGAAAGTCCCTGTCCGGTCCAGCAAGTACCATATGGGGCTAAGGGTACCGGGGCCAGAGAATACAGGCCAAATCGGAGCTGTGCAGAAGTATAAATCAAGAGGCTGCGTCCAGCCATTCATTCATTCCTGCGGAAGCTCTGCGGAAGCGCTGTTCGGGCGTCTTGTGCAAGGGAGGTCTGCAGATGGCCTGAAGACGAAGTGGGCAGAAGTTAGTGATAGGCTAGTTAGCTGTTAGTGGCCATGCGCCATAGCTATAGACAGTTAGTGAGTGTGTATGTGTGTGTGCAGTGGTTGGCGTGCATGGTATCCAGGGTGATCCGGAGTCGAGTTGCGTGTGAACTCTGAGTCGAACGTGTAAGTGAGGGCGCCCAGCGCCATAGCCAACTGAAGTRAACTTGGATTYGAGTTGAGTTGCAAGCTACCATATCTCTGAGTTTGAGTTGGGTGCACAGCGCCAAGTTATTCTCATCTGTTGCATGCATGTTTGAGTGTGAATTTGCAAGACTGATTTCATCGATGTGACCCTGAGGCAAACGTTGTTCAATTTATTTTTCTGCATAACATAGTTTTTTTTTCGGATTTTTTGGAATTTGTTTTTTGTTTTTTGTTTTTTTTGCTGGGACCTTCCCTGGTCCTTGCACGGGCTGGCCACCCAGGACCCTGGCGGCCCGGCTGGTAGCCTAGGTAAAAGTTTTTTTTTTTTTTTTTTTTTTTAATACAGTAAATGGAGGCTATGCTGTAGCAATTGCAGGTCATATAGCTTTTCTTCCTAAGAGTCTTTAAAAAAGCCGAAAAGTTTTTGCAATCAGACTCGCTGTCATTCACACTTTACATGCATGCAAACAGGTTGCGCAGCAAACTGGCGACAAGCGCCCACTCAGAACTCAGAGATATGGTAGCCAAGAACGCAGCTTAGGTACAAGTTCACTTCAAATGGCTATGGCGGCACAGCGCCTGTACAACTCTTTGTTCGCACACACAGGATCACCCTGGATATCCCACACGTGATTCTCTGTACACACACACACACACACGCTGAACTCTATCTACAGCTATGGCGGCTATGGCCGCTGCTAACCTATCACTATGGCTAAGCTCCTCCTCCCTCGCCCACTTCGTCTTCAGGCTCACTGCAGACCACCTCGCACAAGTCGCTGTGGCAGCGGTTCCGCATGGCTCACGCAGGAATGAATGAATGGCTGGGCGCTGCCTCTTGATTTATACTTCTGTGGCTCGTTGGTCTGGCCCTTTCCCACGCCCGTAGTGCACACAGTCCCATGCGGTACTTGCTTGACTGGACTAGGACTGACTGGGACTGGGACTGCTGACACAGCACGGGTAGACTCCACCACTTGCCCACTTGCCTCAGCCTAAGTGTGGGCAACTTTGAAAGGCCACTACTCGTGGACCTCGCCTTTTGCTACTGTAGCAGCTACACCCTTGACCCTTCGGAAGTTCTACAGCTACGACTTCTAGAACTCCCTAAGACTTCTACTCGACAGGTCTACAGATCGAACCCCTGCTACCTACGGACCCTACGACAGTCTACCAACTGTTACAAATACACAGGTCACGGGTTCAACTCTCAGGGTTGACACAAATACTGTACACAGGTAAGGTGATGACTAGGGATCGAGCCCTGGGATCTGCATCGGCTACTGCAGACAGGTGAATACCGTTTCATTTTTCGTAGTCAATTGATAATGTTCTCAATCTTAAAAATGAATCCAAAAATTTGAATATCGTGACTTGCATAGTTGCCCTCACTAAACCAACAAGAATGTGGACTACGATTCACATTGAGTCTGACTGAGATTGGATAAGTTTTTCTACAACTAAAGAATAAGCATGTTTCTGTGTCATCATAGAAACATGATATAATCGATCAAAATAAGGCAAAGCTTGTAGGTAGGTTTTATATTCAATTAAGTTTTTTCCGTACCTCTATGAAGTAAACCAATATGTGGTTCTGCGAGTTCCACCACTTCTCCATTCATTTCCAAAACTAATCTTAAAACACCATGAGCAGCTGGGTGTTGAGGTTCGATTTTGAAAGTCTATTTTTTTATTTGTTTGGTTTTTAGCCATATATATAGTAAACAAAAAAAAAAAAATGGATCAGGTAGATTTTGGTCTTTCCTCTGAGACTATGCGTCCCTGACATCTAACCCCTTTGGACCCCCCCCCCCCC